GGTGGTTGTGATGCATGTTTTTCATTCCTCCAACTAAAATTGGGATGATTCTTCCATCTCGGGTTGTATGTGTTTGAGTAAGGATTATTGTAAGGTTTTGAAAAAGTGTTTACAACATTTGCTTGATCATGCAAGACTTCTTTTAAAACAGGTAATGTTGAACATTCCTTCATAGGATGTTCAGGGATTTCACAAACACTACACACCTATCAACAGGCATTGTGTCAACTTGATTAATCTTTTTGTACTCCATGGCTTCTACACTCCTAGCTAAGGTGACAATTCTAGCTCTTAGTTTATCTTTTTCCCTCAACTGGTATTTATCCCCACTAGATGATGATGATTGCGTAGTCTTACCTTTAGTAGGTTNACCCCCACTAGATGATGATGATTGTGTAGTCTTACCTTTAGTAGGTTCTTTAGATGTAGTATCCCAAGATTGTGCATTCTCGGCTAATTGGTCTAAAAAGTATAAGGCCTCGTCAGGTTCTTTATTCATAAAATCACCATTACACATCATTTCTACAAACTGACGCAACTGTTGGCTCAATCCCTCATAAAAGAAACTTATCACGCGCCAGCTCTCATAACCATGATGTGGACAAGATGCAAGAAGGTCTTTAAATCTTTCCTAACTTTGATAGAAATTTTCACTCTTTTTGAGAAAAATTAATTATTTACCTTTTTAAAGAGTTTGTGCGATGTGTGAGAAATTTTTTTTTAAGAAATTATTTTTGCATCTCAAGCCATGTACCTATGGTCCTAGATCTAAGTGAATATAACCAAGTTTTAGCTTTTTCCTTTAATGAAAAAGGAAACAACTTTAATCCGATTGTATTAACTGAGACATTCTGATCATGGAACGTAGCGCATACATCCTCAAATTATCTAATGTGTAGATATGAATTTTCTAAATCTAGGCCAAGAAATTTTGGGAGTAATGTAATCATGTCAGGTTTGGAAACAAAATTTGTGGCATTTAATGGAAAGATAATGCACGAGGGTGCAGTGTGGCGTGCAGGCTATAAATATTAACACAAAGTCCTACCTTAATTAGCATTTAAATTATCCACATCGTTTTCATCATAATTACTTACTCTATCAATATGATCCTCATGTTTGAGAAGATCATTTTGCCTATTATTGTTAGGATTAGCAGCCATTGTGTTTGAAGAGTGATTTGAATCAGATGAACCAAATAGATTTCTAAACAGAGTATCTAAATCTTCTCTTATTAAACGACCACTTAAGTCATGATTCCAGGAACTCATAAAACAAATAAACAAACTAAATAAAACAGAAATCTAAATTAAACAGAAATAAAATAAATTGCAATAACATGACTAAAGTAAATAAAAATTAGAATGAAGTTACCGGATCTCCGAAGAATCGCAAATATCGAAAACCTCAAAGATGCGATGACTCTTTGTCCTTAAACTCCCCGGCAACAGCGCCAAAAACTTGCTACAACTTTAGAATTGATCACCCAAGTGCATGCTGTTACGAAGTAATATAATACTCGGAAGTCCAAGGTCAAATCACAGGTAATTGTAACAAAAAGCAATCACAAAAATACCAAAGAAAATTTGAGAGAACAATTTGTGTAAAAAAAAATTGTTGAGTTGAAAATATTGATTGGAGATATTTAAACAATATAATAAAAATACTAAAGCATCAGATACTCCCTCTCAATTCCATACAATAATGATTAAAGACTCAAATCTTAACTTGAGACAAGAATCAGATGTCGGTTGATTCGAGTAACAAATCAATTAAGAAAATCAAAAGTTAAAATCAAAAGATTATTCAGGAACCTGAATAATCATCCAATTATATTATTTTATGAAATAATGATAAATACTTGAAGCGTGGAATAACCAGTTATTTACTCGCAGGAAAATTTAAGCAATCGATGTATATGATACAACGACTCAAAGATTTTTATATAATAAAAACTTTGCTAAGAAATCAAAAGTTAAATTAACAAAACATCATAAATCATTAAGCACAGAGTCAATAACAGTACCGTACTTCGTTGAGAGATTTTCCCCTAACCCTAGCTTAGTCTTCTAGCCGGACATGACGAACTAAAATAAAAATAAAAAGATAGGAAAAAGAATAATCAAATAATCTCTAAATGAGAACCCCTATTTATACTAATAATAAATCCTAAGTACAGATTGAAATGAATTCTTTTCCAAAAANTAGGAAAAAGAATAATCAAATAATCTCTAAATGAGAACCCCTATTTATACTAATAATAAATCCTAAGTACAGATTGAAATGAATTCTTTTCCAAAAAAGAAGTCTTGTAAGGTTAAATCCCGTGCATAAAATCNCTAATCCAACTCTAAATGAGTTTTCTTCCAACTTGGACTCTTATAAGGATTAAATTGCTGTCATATCTTCAAGTCTTCCAATCTCAATCTTGACTCTTCAATCCTTATCAGTTATCATTCTTCCTCTAGTAATTGCTTCATTTGCATTATTCATTATTACTTTAAATCAACCAATTTACTTGCAAAATAAACCAAACAACTAGAAAAAGTATCAAACTAGAAAATCAAAGAATTTAACACATTTAATCACAAATAATATGCAATTAACCAATTATTAAATATAATAAAATATCAATTTTGATGGTTAATCAAAGTTACAAGACTTAGGAGGGAGCTTTCTATACGGTTTGAGATGAAGAATTTTGGGGAGTTTCACATATTTCTTGGATTGGAGGTATCAAGGAATGAAGAATGTATTTTTCTTTCTCAATCGAACTATGCTAAGAAAATTTTGGGCAAATTTAGCATGTCAGATTGTAGACAGTAGCTACTCCAATGGAGCAGAACTTGAAATTAAAGGTTGATAAAGGGAAAGAGTTGAAATACGGGCAACGCTATTGGATACTGGTTGGAAGTTTGTTGTATCTAACTATTACCACACCCGTCATTTCTTTTTGGGATAATTAGTCAATTCATGAAACAACCGCACAAATCCCATCAAGAGGCTGCTAATAGGATACTTTGGTATCTTAGTGGCACAATCAGTTTTGGTCTGGTGTATAAGAGAGATGTTAACCATAGTCCCAAAGGTTACACAAATGCTGATTGGGCTGGAGATTTTGTAACAAGGAGATCTACTTTCGGGTTTGTGTTTAGTTTTGGATCTACAGCTATTTTGTGGTGTAGCAAGAAACAAGCAATAGTTGCATTGTCAAGCTCAGGAATGTGTTTAGTTGAAGAGGCTTATTGGAGAAATTCTTCATCCAATTAACAAGCCAGTACAACTATTGTGTGATAATATGAGTTCTATTCAAATGGCTTCAAATCCAGTATTCCATGCTAGAAGCAAAGCATATTGGAGTCCACTACCATTTCATTCGAGAGAAGGTACTTGAAGTTCAGATTGATCTAATTGAGGTGGATACAAATGATCAGCTGACAGATACTTTCACGAAGGCGTTACCAAAGGAAAAGTTTCAAAAGTTTCGAGAGTTTTTTGGCTTGGTTTCTCATGTTAGCACAAAAGGCGAGTGTTGAAAGTTGTGCTAACTTTATTAGTTTAATTTAGTATTTTTCACACATGGTTCATGTACATGGTTTGGTACATGAATGTAGTTCAAGAGTTTTTTTGTTAAGTTCAAGAGTCATTAGTAATATTCATGTATGGAGTCTAAGGGTCATTTATGAATCTACTTATTATCTAGGGTTGTGTACTTGTCTAGGTGCATGATAGGAGAGTCCTAGAAATTCTAGTAGCATTTTGAATCATGGGGGGTGTANGTGTACTTGTCTAGGTGCATGATAGGAGAGTCCTAGAAATTCTAGTAGCATTTTGAATCATGGGGGGTGTATCCTTGTAGAGAGTGAAAAGGAGAAGTACTATGAAATAAAAGTTCATGTGTTCTTCTTTTATGTGAGTGTTGACTCTAATTGTTCTTCTTGTTCTAAGTTTTAATAGTTCAATGGTCTTGGGTGTGTAGTCTAGGGTTCTAGCTGCATTATTGAAGAGTGTGATTCTCTCAAGTGTCCACTACAACACTAGCAGAGTCGTGACGGAAGGTTAAGGAAACTAATTTATGTACATATTGTACAGGAATGTTGGTTTTTTCCTGTCGTTTGTTATAAAGGATGAAATCCCTAATCTTTTATTTTGGTACAAACGACATCATTGTGTATCCTGTTATATAGTTTCCTATTTTGATTATGGCATTAGGTGGCATTATTGATTTTTAAAATGCATTACTATATTACAAATGCAAGTATTGTCACGTGTTAAGTTACGCTTCCATCTATGAAAAACCAAAGAAGGTCTCTCGGGATGGAGTGTGAGATAAGGCTGAGATAAGGCCAAGGATTTTACAACCATCAAATGGATTCACTCCCTAATCCAACGGCCAATAGTCCCAACCTCAACTAATCCGGTCCCACCCCTTCAAATCCCTATGAATAATGTTACATGAACTTAAAAACTAATCAGAACTCTCACCGCATCACCAAATACTCCTATAACCCAAACAAACCAATTAGAACTCCCATACCATCCCTTCCCACACTCTCACATCCTTCACCCCCACCATCATGGCCACCACGACGGCAACCGCAGCCATAGCCACCTCCTCATTCATCAGAACACGCCTCCCAGACATATTCTCCAACTCAAGTCGAGTTCAAGCCTGATTCGGATTTGGAGCCAAGTAATCACCACCTAAAAAGTCCACAAATTTCAATTCAGACCATCCACTTTGGTACCCAAGAGCCGAAGCACCGGAGTGGCTCGACAGTAGTATGGTCAGTGATTATGGGTTCGACCCATTTGGGTAAGGCAAGCCTGCAGAGTACTTGTAGTATGAGTGGGACTCTTTGGACCAGAACTTGGTGGGTGAGATAATTGGAACCAGGTTTTGAGGTTCGGATGTGAAGTCGATGCCATTTCAACCATACACTAAGGTCTTTGGGCTGCAAAGGTTTAGGGAGTGTGAGCTGATTCATGGAAGGTAGGCTATGTTGGCTACTCTTGGTGCTTTGGCTATTGAGTGGCTCACTGGTGTTACATGGAAGGACGCTGGAAAGGTATTGACTACTTGATTACATACANTCTTGGTGCTTTGGCTATTGAGTGGCTCACTGGTGTTACATGGAAGGACGCTGGAAAGGTATTGACTACTTGATTACATACAAGATTTTTGTGCCTCACAATGTTAGATTAGGATGTGCATGAATATCTTTACTTTTTAGATCTCTTAGTTTGAATCTTGGTAATTTTTTGGGCCAAGATTTATCCCTTATAAATTTATGTAGCTCTCTAAAAATTCAAGTCTCTTTATACGGTTAAATAAAGACCTTTCTCTTTTGGCATTCTCGGTCCTATATGGGAGGAACCACCTCTTCCCCTGCATCCATTTGATTGCTTAGTATATCCTCCTTCTCGCACTTNCTATATGGGAGGAACCACCTCTTCCCCTGCATCCATTTGATTGCTTAGTATATCCTCCTTCTCGCACTTTTCTGGTACAAAGGACTAGACTGATAATTGTGTATATAAAGAAGACTTTTGTCTTTCTTTAAAAAAGTCAGATAGTTGATCGAGAAAATGAAGAGTTATCTATTCTATTTGATTCCCTCTACTCTTCTCATTTCGTAGTTTGCTACGAGAATACGACTTAGCTCATAAGAGAAAAAGAAAAATAGCATATTAAAACCAGAAGGTAATCCTTCACTTAGGATTTTACATTAGCGGGTTCAAAATCTGTCTTTTTNGAGAAAAAGAAAAATAGCATATTAAAACCAGAAGGTAATCCTTCACTTAGGATTTTACATTAGCGGGTTCAAAATCTGTCTTTTTCTAGAAGACTACGGAGTCAAGATCCACCATCACTCTCTTTACAACCATTCCATTCATCTCTGCTTTAACATACAATGAATGGGTGAGCAAGGGGTTTGGCGCCAACATGTTAAATTCCTCGTGAAATGCTTGCCTTTTTGTTAACATATGGATTAAGGGTCTTAGTCTTAAAGCTTTGGTTAATAATTAATACTAATAAATCAAAAGATGTCACAATTAAGTTAATGTTAGGATATGTGACATAATTTACCATGGAACTTCTATGGTGGTACCGGTACTGAACGTTATAATATTTTAAGGATAAGTTACAATTTTTTGAGGTGTAAGTTACAACTTCAAATAGCATATTTGATCATGAAATGTTAGAAGCGATATCACATTTTTCATGATTGATCATGATTGTTTGTGATTGATCATGACCTCCTTTAAGAAGTTGTAATTTCTCTTTTTAAAATTGTAACTTTACCCTACAAAATAGTGACCGATGGTACCGATACAAAAAATGGCAAAATCTGAACACAAACTAAACACAACTCACCAGGACTTGGTTGTCACACTAGTGATCTTATGTATTAGCTACTATTGTTGCTTGATGCAAATGGATTATTGAAATAATAGAAGGAAATGTCAGTTTTTAAGTGGAATTGGTTGAAAGATCATCTTACCTAGGCCCACATCTTCCCTTCTCCATGACCATATTGATATGGATAGAGTTTCTGGTAATTGGATACATCGAGTTCCANATGCAAATGGATTATTGAAATAATAGAAGGTGATGATGCACAAAAATGGTTTTGCACACCACCTGTCAAGTATAGATAATAANCCCACATCTTCCCTTCTCCATGACCATATTGATATGGATAGAGTTTCTGGTAATTGGATACATCGAGTTCCAGAGAAATGCAGAGCTCGACCCAGAGAAGAGGTTGTACCTTGGTGGAAAATTCTTTTACCCTCTAGGCTTAGCCACCAACCCGGAGAAGAAGGCCACCCTTCAGCTTGCTGAGATCAAGCATGCCCGCCTATATGAAAAATTATTATATTTGTACCCATATTGTAAAAATTGTAATGTTTGACNGGAGAAGAAGGCCACCCTTCAGCTTGCTGAGATCAAGCATGCCCGCCTCGCCATGGTTGCGTTCCTTGGCTTTTCCGTCCAAGCCGCCATCACCGGTAAAGGCCCTCTCAACAACTGGGCTACACACTTGAGTGACCCTCTTCACACCACCATTGTTGACAACTTTTTCTCTTGAGCTTCATTTCAATCCTCTGTTCTTCTTGGTTAAGAGCATTTTACCTATATGAAAAATTATTATATTTGTACCCATATTGTAAAAATTGTAATGTTTGACACTCTAATCAGTATGCTAAATCAACACCTTTTTTTTACTCATAGGGTGATAGCTGACCCTATATTGGGATCTACTGTTTTCTTAACTGCATTCAATATTAAAATTTATTGTTAATTCAATAATAATTATAATACATTAGATCCTTAGATTAAGTTCTTAAATTCGATTGCGATGCAATGCACCCAAGTAAATAAGGAACAAGATGAATACAAATGTTAAATGCTCATCCCATGCTTGAAAAGTGCCCCCACATAGATCTTCCGCAAAACCCTTTGCTAATTCCTGTAAAGATGAACTTCCCTATGAAATAGATCATCCACTTGGCTAATCAACTACCTATGCAAGTAGAGGTGACTCAACAATATTTGGGGCCTAAAGTAATAGTGGCTAATGAGACTTTTTTATTTTCTTAATAATAATTTAATTTTTTGTTTAAAATCTATTATTTTTACTTTTTGATGAGATTCGAAATTGCTAATGACTTTTTTATTCAAATTTTGCTAATATATTTTTTTGATTAATAATATGATTTTTTTTATCATAAATATTTATAGGAATAAAATTAATTTCTTCATTAATATTTTTATAATCTTTTTATTTTTTTTATATGTTGTTTATCGAAACTGTGGTATTAGATGATTGATTTTAGTATAAATAAATTCATTGTTATCTTGCTTTTGGATTATTTTGCTATCTTTGAATTTTTCTTATTTATATATGCAACCTTTACCTAAAATTTTGTTATATTTATCAAAACATTTTATTAATGAGAATGAATGGTTTAATTAGTGTTTTGTGTTCAAATGAGAAAAAAAAAAAAAAAAAAAGTTTAAGAAATGTAGAGAATGTGTTTGGTTTGATTTTTTTGTTTTTTGACTAAAGAGAGATGCTTATTATGTTGGACTTTATGTCTAATTAATATTGNACAAGTTTAAGAAATGTAGAGAATGTGTTTGGTTTGATTTTTTTATTTTTTGACTAAAGAGAGATGCTTATTATGTTGGACTTTATGTCTAATTAATATTGGACTCTATTGTTGAACTTTATGTCTAATTAATACTGGACTCTATTGTTGGGCTTTATGTCTAATTAATATTGGATTCTATCTCTAATTAGAGACTTAAGATGACCCACATTCCATGTCATCTTTTAATAAATAAATATTATATATATATATATATATATCCTATTTACTGAGTCAAATCTTTCTAGGTAACTGACGTTAAGGTAACTACTCACTACTCCCATCATAACATGAAGTGACTATCATGGAGCGGTTTAAAACAATTGTAACTCCTTGATGGAAGGACNTCCTATTTACTGAGTCAAATCTTTCTAGGTAACTGACGTTAAGGTAACTACTCACTACTCCCATCATAAGATGAAGTGACTATCATGGAGCGGTTTAAAACAATTGTAACTCCTTGATGGAAGGACGTTACATACAGTTTCTCTATTGGATAAGGGTCCCTGCATATATATATTCTCATGCTTGTGATTTTCTATAAAGGTATATGTGTATTCAGATATTATATATGTAGACAGAAAACTCTTGTCTCATATACCTCCATTCAGTACATATTTGTGAAGTTATTATTGAGTGTTCTTCTTGNTTCTCATGCTTGTGATTTTCTATAAAGGTATATGTGTATTCAGATATCATATATGTAGACAGAAAACTCTTGTCTCATATACCTCCATTCAGTACATATTTGTGAAGTTATTATTGAGTGTTCTTCTTGAATGTTGAGATTAAGGCTATGATACGGATTCGTGCTTGTTGGAGCCGTTGGGTTCGTTGATTATTCTCTCTATAGAGAATTTGAATTTCTCATTCTCGAACTTGAATATTAATGGCAAGAGGTAAGTATTCAATTCCGCTATGCAAAAATAGAAAGATTAAATTCTTCAATAAAGTCTATCAATTGGTATTAGAGTCATCCTTGTGTCCTTTTTATTCAATTATTAAATATATGATTACTCATTTCCGGAATCAAGACTTAAAGTAGTTGAAATTGTACAAATCTTTGATTATTCTGTCATTCCCGAAACCAAAACTCCCTATGTCAGATGAATGTTTCTACCAATTGAATGNGGAAGATTAAATTCTTCAATAAAGTCTATCAATTGGTATTAAAGTCATCCTTGTGTCCTTTTTATTCAATTATTAAATATATGATTACTCATTTCCGGAATCAAGACTTAAAGTATTTGAAATTGTACAAATCTTTGATTATTCAGTCATTCCCGAAACCAAAACTCCCTATGTCAGATGAATGTTTCTACCAATTGAATGAGGTATTAGAAATTCATACGCCAAGTCAAACATGGAACATGTTTGTACTTTTTGTATCACAGTAAATGTATTTGTACTTTTGTACTTTTTGGTTTAAAAAAAAATAATAACGTACATGTCCTCTGGAACAGTGGCATGAAGTTCCAGTGGCATTACCTTCATGCCACTGTTATGTTTACTGTTATGTCAATAATATTAGCATGAACAATATGCCACTGCTATGTCCAAGAATTATTTATTGTTATGTTGTCATGGTTTATGCACATGGTTTTGCTTCAGATAATTATCTAATAATATCAGCATGTTTTTGGATCAAGTTTGGTTATGGTACATTCATGCCAGAGAGAAGCATTTTTAAGGAATTATTTGCCCTGAAAGATTTATTTATGTCTTGAACTATGTCACATGGAGATATCATATTAACTTAAGAATAGCCACAATATCTTGAGTTATATTATTGAATGATCAACATTTAGTTTGATCATATTAAATATATGTTTAATATCTTCATATTACTATTTAGTTGTTATAGATAATTACTCGGCCCCATAGGGAAGTATTTATTTTATACTGCTTAATTGGAGTAAGCTATTGAACGGGATATTAAGAGTTTTGGATACCTTATACCCACAGGTTTGGAATCATTTGTTCCTTAGTATTTTAATTCATTAGTCTTATTATAAAGAATAATAAACAAATCTTGGACAGTTTATGACCTTTACCCACAAGAAGGTTTGCTTATTATATTCTTGGTTATTGCAGTTGTTGCTACCTCTTTATTTAATGAGTCTTCTAACATTCCATCGCTGAGTGGTGGAAATTTTTTGGATTGGAAGGACAAAATTCTCTTGACATTAGGTGTATGGACTTGGATTTGGCACTTCGCATTAAAGAACCTCCTGTATCCACTGAGTTAAGTTCATCGACTGAAAAGAGTGCCTATGAGCGGTGGGAGCGATCTAATTACCTAAGTCTGATGCTCATCAAATCACATGTGAGCAAGAGCATCAAAAGTTCTATTCCAGAATGTGATAAAGTGATGGACTACATGAAGGCCATTGAGGAGCAATTTGTCAATTCAGATAAAGCATTGGCCAGCACCCTGATGAACAAGTTATCAGACATGAAGCATAACAAATCTAGGAGTGTGCATGAATGTATTATGGAAATGAGGGACATTGTAGCTCAACTTAAGTCCGTTGAGGTTGAGATCTCTGATTCATTCCTTGTTCAGTTCATACTTAACTCTCTCCCTGCAGAATTTGGACCATTTAATAGCTCTTATAACACACACACACAAAATGGCTCATCAATGAAATTCTGACTATGTGTGTTCAAGAAGAGGAGAGACTTAAGCATGAGAATTTGGAGAGTGCCCATTTGATCACTCATAAAGGTGGACAAGGTAAGAAAGACAAAAGTGTTCTTAAATGGAAGAAAGATAGCAAAGGGTCATTCAAGAAACGTGGCCACAAGGATGTTTGCTTCTTTCAAGAAGAAGAGACACTTCAAGAAAGATTGCCTGAAATATAAGAAATGGCCTGAGAAAAAAGGTAATCTCATATCTCTTGTGTGTAATGAATCCAATTTTATTGATTCTCATCATAATACTTGGTGGATTAATTTGGGTACTACAATTCATGTTGCCAATATCATGTAGGGCTTCCTCAGCCTAAGGAAAACGATGAAAAATGAACATGACATCTATTCAGAAAATGGGATGCATTCACACGTCACGACTGTTGGAACTTTTAGACTTGTTTTAGAAACTGACTTTGTTTTGGATCTTGAAAATACTCTTTATGTTCCTTCATTTTCTAAGAACTTAATTTCTATTTCTAAATTAGTACCTTTAGGATTTGAATTCAGCTTTGTTGGTTTGGACGTTTGTTTGTTCGAAAACTCTAGTTTGGTTGGTTATGGGATCTTAGTTGATAGTTTGTATAAATTAAATTTGGATCCTGTTTTTGAACATAGTCTCCTAACCTTGCATAATGATATTGGCACTAAAAATACTATTATTGATGAGAATTCCTCTATGTTGTGGCACAGGAGATTAGAACATATCTCCATGGAAAGAATTAAAATATTGGTTAATGATGGAGTCTTAAAGGCTCTTGATTTTTCTAATTTTGGTACTTGGAATCATACACACTGATATTTGTGGACCATTTTCTACCACTTGTTTAAATGGTCAGAGATACCTTATCTCATTCATTGATGACCATACATGATGTATGTATCTCTACCTTCTGTTTGAAAAATCTGAGGCATTGGATGCTTTAAAAACATTCAAACGGGAAGTAGAGAAACAATTGAAAAAGAAAATTAAAATTGTATGGTCAGATAGGGGTGGAGAATATTATGGAATGTACACAGATTTGGGACAAAGGCCTGGTCCATTTGTTGAATATTTAAAGGATGAAGGTATAGTTGCTCAGTATGCTATGCCAGGTTCATCTTACCAAAATGGTGTGGCTAAAAGGCAAAATCACACCCTTATAGACATGGTAAGGAGTATGCTAAGCAACTCTAATCTTCCTTTGTTTTTGTAGAGTGAAGCCTTAAAGACAATAATGTATATCTTAAACAGGATTCCCACTAA